TTTATTTATTTATTTATTTATTTATTTATTTATTTATTTATTTATTTATTTATTTATTTATTTAACAGTTTAACCGGCATGTGTAAAAACACTCTGCAATAAAATTGACAACAACAGTTATATGTTCTTTGTAACATGCTGATTCTTGTCACTAAAATTCCTGACAAAAAGGTTAAATCTGACATGTCGCTCAAGAGAAATAAAAATAACGGTATGAAACATCAAGCTACATAGAGTTTTAGATTACTGGGGAAAATATCTGGTGAATATTGATTTATTTATAGTCATAATGCAAAGTTTTTATTGTGAGCAGGAATAGCAATAAGAATCAGAAAAACATCAGTATGTTGTCCTTAAGTCATGTCAATCTGAACACACAAAATCAAATTAATCTCTTTATAATTGTTTCATTTTATTTTTTTAAAAACTCTTACAATCGGAGAAAGAATTTTTCAAAGCTTTCTTTCTTTTATCCTCAACTTCTCTTCTTCTATCTCCATGAAATAATTGGGGTTCTCACCTGACAAAAGTTTAAATTGTTGCTGTCTGATCTTCAGAAGAGGCAGTAAATCATCTAAAGCGGTGATGGAAAATCTTTCAAAGATTGTTGTTCTAATTGGTAGAAAACCACAACATGGCTAGAGCTGCGTTACAGTCCAGCAACATTCCAACATCCCACAACATTCAGTGTTATTTCAGCTAGGAGGAAGAACTTCCTGTAATAGCAGTCGAAAATTATTTCCTGTTGAGCATGCAGACGAATATTTGACTCATTTCAAGAGAATGAAATAAAAGCACTTAAAAACATAACGGATTGCAGTTCCACAGACCCGTGGGATGGCCAGATCAATGTCTGCTTCATCAACGCTTTGCTCCTGACTTGTTTATTCCTCAGATCGATTTGAACTGTTTCCCCTGCAGGCATCTGTATAATGTAGCAATGCTAGTCTGGCTCAGGCGTATGAAAATCTGCCTGGCTCTACTGTATAAAGTCAACTTTGGGAAGAGAAGCACGGTTTCTATGTTTCTGTTTTACATGTCATTCTTGTGCCTTGAGCAGTTTTGAACTGCATTAATGAGAATTCCCTATAATTATTCTGGGAAGAAATGGAGCCAAATTTGCCTCTACTCTAACAATATGACTGTCAAACTAATACTGTAACTCTCATGAAAAATGTTTCATGAGAAACATTTTCTCATGAAACATGAGAAAATGTTTCATTTTGGAGGGATGTGGAGGTGGAGGGATGTTTCCCTCCACCATCTAGTATCCTACAGCTCCACCAGGATAATGGCACATTTACTGGGAAGGAAGAAAATAGCCTCAGAACTCATTTGGATTTGGATTAAATTTTAGTGAAACATTTAGCAGATGGGTTGATTAAGGCTGCCTTCATTGTCTATCATCAGTGAAGCAGCTAAAGGCTGTGCACCGCTTTAGCACCTCAGATCTGCCTCTTGAACTGACAGCACATGTTCCCTCAGCAAAAGACGGAATAAAATGAAACATATCTTTTAAAGCAGAGGTCAAGTTCCCAAATTAGTATGCAAATTTCACTCTTTGCACATTTTTGTACTTGCATTTGGGTCTTGACTGCTCCTAAAAACACTCCAAGAGCTTAAAAAAAAAAAACTCCCAGGCCTTTAAAAAAAAATAAGTTAATGTTTTTTGGTGTCTGGAAAAGGAGCCATTTCAAAAACCTCCCAGTTGTTGAGTTGCAATTGCAAGCAAACCAAGCGGAGCTCCAGCACATTTGATCAGCTGGTTTTACCACTGTACCCGGTGAACAATTGGTGCTGGAAAAGTTAAATGTTTTGCTGTTGACTTGCCAACAAGAAACCACTTTCTACATTCTTGTTGGTTGTGTTGGATGCTCTACTTCTGCTTTTCAAAGATGTACAGTTGTATATTGCACATCTGTTTGCAGATATTTTCACGTGAGTTGGAGAGAGCAGCTTATTTTGAATTAAAGTGACAAGACACCCTAAAACAGATTATCTGTTATCATTCACACAAAAAAACAACAGTAGCAACAGTAGACGTTGGAACATTAGTAACCGTAGTCATAGCAACAGCAGACGCCAAAACTATATTAACCACCGGTTCTACCTGGAGAACTCTCACAACGGTTGAGCCCTCAACGTTGAGCAGACAGAACATCACCATGGATAAGAATCCAACGGTTCTTTTAAGAACTATTACTTTAAGGATACCTACCACAACCAAATTATTTTAATTATTTTATTTGTTTTTTCCCCACTTTTCTCATCCTAAACAGCCGCTCAAAACGAGAGAACCGAACAACGATCCACAGAGTCAACGGTGGATTGCTTCTGCTTTTGGACTGGCTAGGTCCACCTAACTGTGTCAACGGGTAAAACATTTTTTTCTCTTCTTATCACCCAAAATATCCCTAAATAGAACAATAAATTAAAAAGATTTCCTTAACCTAATTAGAGACACGAAACGGACCATTTAAAAAAATTAAAAAAAAACCCCGCAGCGCAACGAATAAAACGAACAAAATAAAAATAAACCCACAATCTAGAAATTAATAAAAATAACTTACAACTAGAATAAGTGATACTAACTTAATTCTTATATAAACTTCCCAAATATGAAACAAAAAATAAAGAATAAATTACAAACAAGCCGTTTTCTTAAAATAAATTTTTATATAAAAAAAAGACCACACAAAACCCGCAAAGAACACAAGTAACAACTGGAATTAAAAACCAAACATAAAATTAATAACTTAAATAATTAAAATATATTACTTGTATTCCTAATCGTTAAGGACCTCCCCTATTTTTCCTTAGCTTTAACAAATCACCAAAATCACCTCTGGATTGGATACAGAACTCGACCTCGGAACCTGATCACTCCGGGGGGCCACTGCTTGGCGAGGGCGTCTGGTGATTTACACGGTCGAAACGTCCGCTAGAGCCAGCAGTCACCACTGACGATTGAGTTCTGAAATTTTAATTAAACTTGTTTGTTGATTCGCTCTTTGAGGTTGTGGGCTCCCCAGTATTGGATCTCTGCCCTTTAGGTACCTCAAAGGGTAGGCACTCTCGCTCGAGATCAAGACCCATCGTGAGCAACAGGGACTATCTATAGACTGGTGTATGGTGTTAGCGGTGTGTCAAGGACATCACCTATTGTTTTGATGGACTGTGTGTGCTGCGTAGAATATGGCCAGCATATTCCGGTGGGTGCAAGTTGCTTCCTCTGAGCAGGCTCAGATTGAGCTAGTGGTGAATTGTTATGTTGGTGTTCAAAAATTCAAGTTGGTAGGTTCTTAGGAAAAGGAGGGAGGAATCACAAGGTTAGTTTTAGGTTAGAAATTGGGTGAGGTTAGGGTTAGAATAAGAGTTTGGTGAGGATTTAGGACGAGAGGGGAGAGGAGAGAGGAGAGAGGGGGCATAGGGGAGAGAAGAGAGAGGAGTGGGGGGGGGGAGTTAGGTTCAGGGCAGAAGAGGGGTTAGGTTAGGTTTAGAAAAAGAGTTTGAGGAACTAGGATGAGGAGGGAGATCCAAAAGGTTAGGTTCAGGACAGAGGAGAGGTGAGGTTTTAGGATGGGGGGGGGGAAGAAAATGGGCTAAATATATGGATTTGGTTAGGGTTAGATTTCAAGTATTTAAGATAGGGTTAGAGGTCAAATTTCATTAAGGATTCTGTATTTAATAGTAAGGTAAAAGGTTAAAATTATTTAGAAGGGTTCTGTGTTTTAAGGTAGAGGGAGGTTCTTGGGGAGGAGAGGTGGGTTGAATAAGTGTGAATTTGGTTAGGATTAAATCCAAAGTAGGTGTTGAGGTAAGGTTAAATTTGATTAAAAGAAATTTTTTGGAGGGGGTAGGAATGTTTTAATATGTATGGGTTGGTTGAGGCTGGATTCAGAGTATTTGTGGTAAGGTAAAAGGTCAAATTAAATATAAGGGGTTCTGTAATTTAAGGTAGAGAGGGAACTTGGAGGCGGGAAGGGTGGGTTGAATATATGTGGAGATGGCTAGGGTAGGTTATGAGTATTTCTGGTAAGGTTAAAGGTCGAATGGTTAAGGTTATGTCAAGGGTGTTTTTGGTAAGGTTAAGGTCAAATATTGTTTCTAAAATAACAAGGGGAGGAAAAATGGAAAGGGGGATTTTCGGATCTGTAAGAAATAATTTAGTTTTAAGATCATCTTTCGTTAAGGCCCTTTGGTGTTTTTGTTTCCAATCTTTTAATCCATATTCTCTCTTGTAGCCATCTTTCCCTTTTTGACCATTTGGGGTTGTGAACTAAGGGTCTGCCTCTCATGGATTCAACTCCATGTTGTATGAAATGTTGGATTATTATTGTTTCTGTTTTCCTTCTACATCTGATTTCAGACTTGTGGTTAGAAAAGTGCAGGTGAAATGAATTGACCGTTTCTCCTACATACTGTTTTTGGCACTTGTGACACCAGATTAGGTAGACCACATTTTTTTTAAAAGGGGAAATTCCAGATTGGAGAGTCCAACGTTTATTATTGCTGTTGCTTCGAATGTAAGGGTATTTCGGTTTCTCTTTGTAGGAAAAGTTCTTGTTGGTGAATTTAGAGTGGACCAGAAGGTTTTGTAAATTGGGATTCTTCTGGGGTGCTGTGATGACTCTCCAGTTTTGACTCAGTGGTAGGTTTTGTTGTAATTGTTTGAAGTGTTCCTTTAAAATTCTGTGATTTTTCGTGGTAAAATCTGAGAAGGGGCCTGTCAATGCCATAATGTGTGGTTTTGTTCCCAGATTCCTATTTTGGTTTGTGTTTTCCTCATGGAGGGTTTCTCTTTTTACTTTATAGAGAAGGGTCCTAGAATACCCTCTTTTCTTGAGGGCCTGGAAGAGGATCTTTGTAGCCTCCTCTCTGTCCTCATCATTCGAGCAGATCCTTTTGAATCTGATCAGTTGGGATTTTAGGATGCCCTGAAATGTGTGCCTCGGATGGAAACTGCTCTGGTGTAAAAGTTGATGCGAATCTGTGGGTTTGAAAAATATTTTGCTCTCCAATTTTCCCGTTTGTCTGAATTTTTCGCCTTTGAAAGTTATCACATCCAGGAAGATAATTTGTTGTAGGTTGGTTATGGTTTTAAGTTTGATAGAGGTGTGATGATTATTCAAGATTTCTGTGAAATGTTCAAAATCCTCCTGGCTGTGTTCCCACAGGCCCCAAATGTCATCCAAATACCTATAGTAGGCCTTTGGGAGTTTCGGACATTTTTGAAAGACCTCCCTTTCCCATTTCGCCATATAAATATTGGCGTAGGCCGGTGAGAACCGTTTTCCCATTGCCGTGCCCTTAATTTGTAGAAACCAGTGGTCGTTAAACATGAAGTCATTTCTTTCCAAATTGATTTTCAGGAGTTCCAGAAGAATTTGGTCGGGCCTTTCAGGATCTGGATTTTCTCTGAGGCATTCTTCTATAGCTTCCAGTCCTTTTTTTGGTTTCTATGTTTGTGTAAAGATTTTACACATCCATGGTGAAAAGGAGGGTTTTCTCAGAAATTGTATGTGTGGTCATTTTTTCCAGGAAGTCGATTGTGTTTTTTAAATAACTAGGATGTTTCTGTGAAAGGGGGGTTCAAATAAAAATCTAAGAGTTGTGCTGAGCCGTAGGATTCGCTGCTGCAGTCGGAGATGATTGGTCTGCCTTTTGGGATGTGGAAGGGTCTGGACCATTCGGCGGGATCCTTGTGAACCTTTGGTAGGGAGTAAAAGTACCTCGGTCTAGGTGGGTCTGTGCCTGTTAGGAATAAGCGTTGTTTTTGATTAATGTATTTTTGTTCCTTCAATTTTTTGAGGAGGTCGTGTAGTAAAGTTTTGGTTTCTAGGTAGATCGGTTTCTTCAGAGGTTTGTAGTATTCTTCGTCCCCCAGTTTTCTGTTAGCTTCCCATAGGTAATTAGATTTGTCCATAATCACCGTTGTGGAGCCCTTGTCAGCTGGTTTTATCACAATAGAGTTATTATTCTGCAGTTCCTCTAATGCTTCCAGTTCCTGTTGTGAACGATTGTTTTTTTCGGGTTCGACTGGGATTTTTTTAGTAGCAATTTTGTCCTGCTCAATTAGCTCCAAAATGAGGGGGTGGGTTTTATGAATCGGTGGTTCCCATTGAGATGGGGGTAGAAAAGGAGGGGGCCGGTCATTATTCTTGTTATTTTGGAAGAAATCTGCTAATTTAAGTCGGCGGTGATAATTTTGGATCTGGAATTTGAGTCTCTCCCTTATATTTGGGATCCTAGTCGCTGTGGGAATGAAAGTAAGGCCCTTTGATAATAGTTGGATGTGATTTTTTTCTTAGGTGAAGAGTGGTTGAAAGGTTGAGGATTCCCTCTTCCAGATTAAGTTGGTTGGTTGGAGTTTCGAGGTTAGTTTGCCCGTATGAAACCTGCTGTTGGCAAGAGACATACGGGCCTACCAGTTTAAAGTCTCACACCAGTGTTCCAGGATGAGTTTTGCTGTTGGGGTTGTCCAATGAATTTTGTCTTCCGATGTATGGAAATGTACTTGTGGGATGGGTGTAAGAATTTGGTGGTTTAATTCTTGGGAGATCTCTGTGATAACTGTGTTAATCTTTTGGAGGTTTTGTTTTTGTATGAAATTAAGTTTTTCAGAGTAGTTTAATAAAGGGGTGTAAATGTCTGCAAATGGGAAGGTGTCCCGTGCTGCATTTAAGAGGGTGTTGAGGAGAGTGTGCATTTTTTGTGGGTTCATTTGTCCTCTGTTATTTATACCAAATGAGAGTATGATTTTCCTGATTTTGTTGCAGGTTTTTGTTCTCCTCAGGATGTCATAGGCATCTCTGAAGTTGGCCCCTGGATAACAATCCATTTGGATGTTGGGATTGGTCGGTGGGGGCATTCTGTTAATGTTTGAATCTCCCATAATTATTATGGGTCGGTTTGTGATGAGGTGCCAATTTTCCTTTTTATTCCCTTGATTGTTGTGTATGGTTTTCAAGGGTTTAGGGGTCATCAATACTGGTTTCAATGGGGTCTTTAAAACTTCCGAGAGGGTAATGGGTTTGAGGGGTTGTTGGGTCATTTTGTGGGTTTTCTGGGGTTAGAGTGGGTTCCATGTTATTCCCAATATAAGGTTCTATTCCTGTTTCATTGTTCAGGTTTTGCATGTATGAGTTGTATTTGGGATCATTTTGAGTTGTGATAAGTTTTTATCACTCCAACTGAAATGTTTCCATTTCAGTTGGAGTGTTGTGAGAGGTATTGTATGGTGTGTGTTTGTTTTGTGCTTCTTTTCCTTTTTTCCGTGTCTTGTGTTCTGGCTGTGTACTTTCCACTTTGTTCATTGTTGTGGATTGTTTGTTTCGTGTTTCCGTAATTTTCTTTTGGGCCATGGCCAAGGTGATTTGTTTGATACCCTTTATCTCCTTTTGTGCTTTTTTGGTGGCCTCATTTAGAATAAATTGTAATTTCTTCCGGGGTATTTTTTCCAGGTCCGTTAAGATTTTATCCATTTCTTGTTCCGTTTGTTTCTGGTTGGTTTGGTTTCTTTGTTGTTCTAACAGGAACACTTTAAAAGTTATTTCAATCCATTCCGTTAAAGTTTTTGGTTTATTTGGCATTTTTAATCCTTTTTTTTTATATATATATAAAAATGAATGATAAATAATTAAAATTAATTATAAATATGTAAATATATTTTTATTTTTTTTAATTTTCGTATTAATTAGCGTTAATGTTGAATAAGTTAAGTGTAATGAAGTGGGAGTTTTTTGTGTGTGTCGCGCTAATATCCAATTAGTGGGGGGGGTTAAGATTTGCTATTTTAAAACAAAACAAAACCGTGTTCGCAGCGGGCGCTTTGGGTAAAAATAGGGATTTTTACGGCGGTGTTTTATTGCGTAAAGAGGGCGCGTGCGCCTCGAGTTCAGGTTTATGGCTCTGTTTGCTCTGAGTTGCCACTTTTCACGCCAAGTTTTCTAACAAGTGTGAAACTAGGCCACGGCTCTGCTCACTTGTGTAATTGTTAAGCCGAGGTTCTTTATTTTCTTTTATCCTCAACTATAATTACGATCTAGAAGAAGGCAGCCTTCGCCAGCGTTTCCATCTGTAGTCGGTTTCTTTTCTCCCACAGAGAAAAGAGTTATCACATAATCACAATAAAAAAAAAAGAGGGATTAGAGTATTGAACGGTTATGACATTGACTTACTGGGTGAGTTTCTCACCCACGAAGCTTTTTTCACGTTACAAATACAAACTGTACTGTATTTTATTGGGATTTAAATGTGGCAGACCAGAGTGAAGTGGAAGGTTTTCAAAAGTTTTACATGCAGGGATCTGAAAAATGATCAAACATGCCTTGTTTTTTTTTAACTTGTGACGTTAAAAACATGAAAAAGGTCAAGAGGGGTTGATACTTTCGTAAGTCACTGAATGTGGAGCAAACCCCCCGACGCCCCATTTGTAAATGGACCACAGACATTGACATGATCATCAGTCTATTTCAGGAGCTCAACGGGGGGCCAAACGAGCCTTTAGACGTGAACGTTCAGTAACGATTCGGGGCTCTTTCTCAGCTGGGAGGCCCTTCAGCTGCAGCGTTTTGAAAAGGAGCAGCTGGGGACTCCATGTGGAGACACGTGGCTGTTGGTCCAATAAAGTGTGATCTCGGTGAAAAGGCCGGCCTGCACTGTGCTTTTCTTCTGAGTTAATATGGAACGTGTCACGTTTTTAATAATACGACCCCTGGCAAGGGATTAGTCCTGGACTTTGTTTTGTACAATGCATTCATGAACTCAGCTCAGGTCATGTTCCTATAGTAAAGGAAGGAAGACACTTTTTGGACAGTGGGAAGTACTTATCAAGGTGTGTTTTGACAAGAGGTTTCTGAAAGTTATTTTTTTCTCCCAGAACCTTTTTGAGAGCAAAAACTCACCCGTTTTTTTTTTTTTTTGTACTGTGGGTCTAAAGGCCGCGCCGTTTATGCAGAGCAAAATAAACGATCCGATTCAGGCGTGAGTGTCGCTCTGATCTGGGGATGCAGATTTCCACCCACTGGAATAGCAAAGCTTAAATTGTTGTGCTTGCAAACGAAACTCCAAAGCTTTTGTTGCACAATTTAAGATTAATAGAAAATATTAACTGCAGGCGGGGGATAAACTGAGTGATGACAGAAACATTTTGCTGACAATATCACCACCTCTTTTTTTTTATTATTATTTTGACAAAAGATGATATAAGAAAAAAACCAAAACCTAACTTTGGTCATTATATAGTTAAGATTTTGTGGAGAATTGATCCGTTCTCTATGCTGAGTTCTTGATGTATGAGTTGAAGAAAAGTCAGTGAGTTAAATTCATGAATTCCATTTATTAATACCAAAATACAGCTGGTCAATTTCTCCTGCTACCTTTAGGAGTCAGCAGGACAAAATGGCAACAAGCAACACTTGGTAACTTCCTTTGTTAGCTTCTCTCTAAGCTACGCCCTACAGAGGGTGTTCCCTGGTGTGTCATATCCTCTAACCTCAGCTTTGATGGCGTTTCTTAACATGTCATTTCCTTTAGCTTTGGCTTTGCAAACAGCAAAAAGAGATAGAAGGAAAACACAGAATTATTTATTCTTATCAATTTCTACCCACTTATTTGTTATTTCTGTGGTGGAAAAAACAGGGGATGGGAAAAAAACAATGACCCCATAGTTCCTGAAAAGGTTTGTACAACACAAACAGACCTTCAGATCGCAGCGTCTAACCTTCATGAACATGCTGAATCCGGTCTTCAGCAGGTCCGTCAGCCCTCCTGACATGTGTTCGATGTCGGGGCATTCGGGTCGGTCGGGGTGGAAAACTTCCTCCAGGATCTGTCGCAGGAACGGGCGGTACGAGGCCTGGAGGGAATGCAAACACACGGGAAGGACAGTTACGGACCAAAACAACACTTCAAGCGGCGAGAGCCGTGATTAACTCTCTTTGTATACGATTAATACGAAGCCCACTTTCCTCTGTGCTCATCATCCGCTTCGTAGTGTTGTGTAAAATATCTCTCCACAGAGTTATAAACAGCTCATCTCGGCCAAACAGCCTGTTGACTTATGAGTCACGTCAGGAAGAGGAGCTCAAACACCTCTGCAGCCAAGACAGAAAAAGCCAGTAGATGTGGCTAAAAGCAGAAATTACGAGTGGGCGACGAAGCGGATAAATCAATTTAGGAATCAACACTTGGAAACGAAATATGAAACGAGAGGCTGTTTTAAAGCCGGAGATGTGAGGATATTTCTGGATTTATGAAAATTTAGCGCATATTTCGTCACAATAGAGCAGTGTTTTTCAACCTCTTTTGAGCCAAGGTACACTTTTTTAATTGAAAAAATCACACGGCACACCACCAACCAAAAA